GTCCAGTTTACAGAAATTGTCCTTTTCATGGAGCTCATCCAGTTTACAAGACTGTTTTGTTTACTTGGACTATCCTGTTTCTGAAGACCGCCCTGGTAACTTGGTCTGTTAATTGTATGTAAACTGTCCTGTTTATAAAACTGTCTTGTTTACTTGGACTTTCCACTTTTCAGAAACTTTCCTGTTTACAGAAACTGTCCTTTTTATGGAGATCGTTCATTTTACGAGACTGTTTTGTTTACTTGGATGATCCTGTTTCCATCCTATTTCTAGAGACAATCCTGTTTCTAGGGACAGTCTTGTTTATGGAGACTGTCCTGTTTATTGGACTGTTTTGTTTACTTAGACCATACTTATTCTGAAGACCGCTCTGTTTACACGGTCTGTCCATTAAACGGAAACTGTCCTGTTTATAAGACTGTCTTATGTACTTGAACAATCCTGTTTCTAGGGACCATCCTATTTGTAGGGACAGTCTTGTTTATGGAGACTGTCCTGTTTACGGGACTGTTTTGTTTACTTGGACCATCCTTTTTCTGAAGACTTCCCTGTTTACTTGGACTGTCCATTATACGGAAACTGTCCTGTTTATAAGACTGTCTTGTTTACTTGGACTGTCCACTTTTCAGAATTATTTCCTGTTTATGGAAATCATCCAGTTTACGAGACTGTTTTGTTTACTTGGACAATCCTGTTTCTATCCTATTTGTAGGGACCATCTTATTTCAAGGGAATGTCCTGTTTCTAGGGACAATCCTATTTATGTAGACTGTCCTGTTTATGGGACTGTTTTGTTTACTTGGACCATCCTTTATCTGAAGACCGCCCTGTTTACTTGGACTGTCCATTATACGGAAACTATCCCATTTATAAGACTGTCTTGTTTACTTTGGCAATCCTGTTTATAGGGACCATCATGTCTGTGATGACTGCCCTGACTTTGGGACGATTCTGTTTACGAGACTATCTGAGAACCATCCTGTTCATTTGGACCATCCTGTTTCTGTGGACTGTCCTGTTAAAAAGGACCAAATTACAGAACCTTTCCCCTAAGATTTATCTTCTTGCTTGGTGTTTCTTGTAATGTGATATATTTAACACGTCTCTCTGTTTAATGCAGTGTGTCAGGAGACTGTGTGGGAGGCCTTCAAGATCTTCTGGGACCGTCTACCAGAGCGGGACCAGTACCAGAGCCTGGTGAATCGCTGTATCAATGGATCTGTCAGCATCAAAGACATCGGCAGCTTTTTCAGCCAATCAGAGGAACACAGAAGCCTCATCAGAAGTGTAAGTTCATCCCCTTATGTTTTCTGCTTCTACCTTTTACCTGATTGTTGGCCTTTAAGCTAATTTCTCTGAGCAATGTTTGCCCTTATGATTGAATTTTGTTCTACTCCTTGTGTAGCTAGGTAGAATGAGAGCTGTCTTAAATGTTTTTCCTTATTAATATTCCTTCTCTTAGTAGAACAGTGGACTCCCCTTATTGATGAGCCTAACAGTTGTCTCATTTTAAAAGATTTGGAGCCGCAAAATGCAAACGTCTTTGTTTAGATTTTGGTGACTGATGCATAGGTCTTTGGTAAAGTTTTCTTCTTTGCTGATGATATGTTTGTGTTTTTCAGAGAGTTGCCTTGGCTGCTGAGAGGAACAGGTCAGTACATATCTGTCATGTGTTGTGATTGGCGGCTGCTGGTCCTCTTAGAGCAATAAATAAAGTAAAAACATGAATTCCATAATCATTTAGAGATGTATACATTTCCAAACATGTTGAAAATATGTACCAGTAGTTTTTTCTAGATTTTAGATTTCCCAGTCAAGAAACTAAATCAACCTTGCTCGTGCGTTTTAAAGGCGGGGATATTATTCATTTTTTACCTAGACCATTTAGCTTGGTTTCTACTATTTTTAAATTAACCAAATGTAGGCAAATTTGGACTGAGTCAACCCTGGGTGGTTTTAACTCGGTAGTTTATCGGTTTAATGCCAGGTAAAGTTGAAGACCCATAAATTAGATTAAAATGATGAAATTAGTGAATTAAAGTTAATAAAACATTAGGTGGACAAGAACAACCCATAATTTGTATTATTACAACTAGCTAGCTAATGCTAACAACTATTAGCATTGTCTAGCTAGCAATAATCAGTGTTATTTAGCATGTTTTGTTCAAACTAAAGCTTTGAACAAAACCAACCAGGATGAACATCTTACAAATTATTTGTTTCGTCTTGTTTTTACTCATTCCATCCTAAAGCATAAAGTCAGTCAGGTCCAGTTGGGTCAGTTTCTGGTTTAAAAGGTTGGACTGTGAGGAACGACTCATCTTAGACACAACCACTGCGTCAACCTATTCAATATTTGGTTAAACCAACCCAACTGCTTTAAACTAGAAAAATACTCTTGCAGTTCGTAATGTGTGTATGTTCTAGTCTGTGAATGTTTGTTTTTATAATTTTAACCTTCTACTTTATATGTTGCAGTTATTTGGAATATATAATCACGTTTTATCTATAATATTTCAACTTGGCTTTATATATACTGAACAAAAACTATAAATGCAACACTTTTGGTTTTGCTCCCATTTTTCATGAGCTGAACTCAAAGATCTCTGTTTTTTTATGTACACAATAGGTGTTTTTCTCTCAAATAGTGTTTACAAATTTATGTAAATTTGTGTTAGTGAGTGTTTTTCATTTGCTGAGATAATCCATCCACCTCACAGGTGTGCCTTAGGCTGACCACAATAAAAGGCTACTCTAAAATGTACATTTTTATCACATACTGTAGTACTTGTACAATGCCACAGATGCCATAAGTCTTGAAGGAGCGTGCAATTGACACACTCCCACTAACTTTTAAACTTTTAATGATCTCAGTTTATTTATATGAGGAAAGCATTTGTAAATGAAGTTAAATATTTTGAAAAGTATAAAAGTTACAAAGACCAAAAGTCACAGCAATGAGATGAACGTTTTGATATATGAAGGGTGAAAATAGCACAAAGTATACATAAGTCTTTAGATTATAAGTAGCCTACAGATAACAAATAGAGAGCAATAGTGCTGAGTCAGCATTCAGACTAATATATTTAACAGTCTTTTCTGTGTTTTCATTGACCTTTACTCAAAAAGTTGTGCTATATGTCTGTACACCTAAAATAATTAAAAATCAAACAAATCTGTATTCTGCTGTGATTGAAAATAAATAAATATATATTCTGGTTTCAGAAAATTTAATTAGTCCTAAAACATTAGAGGTTTTAAATGTGGTTGAAAAATATAATTTTTTTCTACTCAATTATTTTTCCAAGAAACATAGTTTATGATTAACAGACAATTAATGGTTTTATTTTGTTGTTAGAAAATAATCAGCAAAAAAACAATATAACTGAGGTTCAAACAGGAAGTTTCACTTTTTGCATTTAATATCAATAATACAATTTAAAAACGGTGATCTGTCATAAAACTATTTTGTCAACTGAATCTTTTCAGTCTAAACATTGACCCAGATGTAAATTTCTTACACCATTGGTTGGTTGTTTAATTTTCTCTCAGATCGAAGGCAATGTGTTCAACATAATGGTATTTCCTCCAGTTATTTAACAGTCAACAATGGTGTACCACAAGGCTCAGACTTAGGACCCACCATCTTTACAATCTACATAGATAATGTAGGTCAGAGCATCCCTGATGCATCCATACATTTCTGTCCTGACGATACAGTAGTTTATTGTCGAGCTAAAACAGTTGCTAAGGTTTTCCAGCTTTTGCAATATGTTTTTGCCATCATCCAGTCAGATTTGTTCCGTCTCAAACTGGTGCTAAATGCTGACAAAATGGATGTTGTTTTCATGTAGGAAGCCAGTCCCAGCAGTTCTTCCTCTGATTTTATCCTCAAATGGTGTCTCTATTGAGTTTGTTGATTCCTACAAATATTTGGATATCTTGGTCAGTTCGCATCGCTCTTTTAAGCTCCACGTGGAAAACTTAGGAAGGAAACTGAAAGTTAAACTGGGTTTCTTTTTCAGAAATAGATCCTGTCTAACTCTGAATGCTAGGAAACGCCTTGTATCTGTGACTTTCCTTCCCTCCACTGACTACGGTGACATTGTTTACATGAACGCTCCTACAAGAACCCTGCAGGTGTTGAATGCTGTCTATCATGGTACACCAAGATTCATAACTAGCTGTTACTATCACCAATGCACCCTGTATTCACTGGTTAACTGGTCATCATTAACTTCACACAGACTCTCTCACTAGTACATTTTCATCTTTAAATCACTTCTTGGTCTGCTGCCTTCATACATCTCCTCCTACATGTCTCTGCGTGAGTGCAGCTACAGCGTGCGCTCTCAGGACTTTCCAACCTAGCTGTTTTTGTATCATTTTTTAACACTAATTTATTTCACTTGTTCTTCTCAATTTGTACGCATCCTTTAGGATTGTCTACTGTTGTCATCACTCTTTGTTTAAACCACGTCTCTCTTGTTGGTTTCATTGGGACTCGGCCCCTAGACTCTCATTGAGTCCCCAAGGCTCAATGGGATTAACCTGTCTAAATAAAGGTTGAATGAAACAAAAATACTCGGCTGATTATTTTAAACACACAAACAACAAAGTATTGAGTATTTAAACCTGTTAGTGTTAAAACAGCTGGTTAATCTCTAAAATGTTGGTTCAAACTTCTGTGTTAAATTTCTGTTTCTGTTTGTCCTGCAGGTCTGAAGAAAAACCTGCCCAAACCAGAGACTCTTTGATGGACTCTCTGCCTGGTAAGAGCTCTACTGAAACTTTATTTGATTTTAATGGGTTTTCTTTTCTTTTCAAGTACAACTACTCTGACTTGGTTCGATGCAGTTTAGATCTGAAATGATCTTTCTGATCACATGTTCAGACAATACCAAGTAAAAGTATTCAGCTTCTCTGTATCACTTTATAGAGTTGGACTCTCTGAGGTCCAATCTGTTTATTTTTAATTTAATGGACCTGCTAGAACTACCAAATGAGCCTCACGTGTGAAATATCCTCTGTTCTGTATTAACTCAGAGGGAAACAGGCCAATGAATCCACTTTAATTTGTTCCAGAAACTTGTCTGTGTCAGCCAAGCTTCTTTCAGTTTACCAACCTGGGTCAGAACCTTTTATTCGACGAATCGGCGAAGCGTCACAGCAAGCTTCAATGAGACAGAGAACACAGAACCCTGTTTACAACTTCTTTCTGTGTAATTACATTAAAGAAATTTACAGAATTCAGAACCAGATGAAGTAAACCGTTTGGACTGCTTAATTTGAGCAGATCCTGCCGGAACAGGATCCGGGAACTCTCTTATTTTGACAGGGTGCGTTCCGGCAAGTGTTTCCTTGGATCTGGTAACTCTCAGGCTTACTAATAATAAAGTTATGAACAAATATGACTGCCTTGAATGAATTAAATTTATACTGAATACGTAAACTGAATTACATAAACACTAATTTTAAACACAACACAACTTCTTAATATCACATATGATCATCTGTGCCGTCAGGTGAAGCATTTCCGCTTCTACCCTTAAAAATTCTTGGCCCCTAGAAGAGTGGTGGGGGTGAGTCCTGGAGGTTTCACACATGAAGTCGGATAGTGAATTCAGCGGAGAAGAGTCGGCTCAGAACCATCAAGGTGGTGGGGGGGGGGGTGGCGGCATGTTTACAAATGTAGGTAAACATAGATGTTTTACAACCTGTTAAAATACACCAAAATGCAGGAAATTGCATCTACTTTATTCAAAATTTTCTGGGGGAGGACCCCCCAGTCGGCCCGCCTGCTATTTGCATTCCAGCATTGATCAATTTACAAATTAAGCCCAGGTTTGGACCCTCCAGCAGGTCTTTGTGCCACATTGGCAGGGGGGGGGGGGACAAGATCGTGATAGACTAAGACATTCACACAATTAATTTATGTTTTAAGAAAATATTTTAAAAAGTTGGCTCTTGATCACGGTGCAGTTTTGTCTCCTTGTGTTGATGAATTGGACCCCGTTCTAAGGTCTAACAAGACTCTGGAGAAACGAGATCGTTGAGAGTCCAAGAGGTTGAGTTTGTGGCAAAAGCTTTTTTCTTAAAGGTCTTAAACCATCGCCTTGTCACATTCTGGTGGAATAAATGGTAAATGGACTGTACTTATATAGCACCTTTCTATCTTATCAAGATACTCAAAAAGTGCTTTACGCTATAATCTGTGTCCTCATTTACACATTCATACAGCACTCTATACAAATCTATCTATACAAAGAATAATCAGAGCTTTATCACATTCATACACCGATGGGGCACACATCGGAGGCAATGAGGGGTGTCCTGCCCAGGGACACTTCAGCACAAGACTGCTGGTGGAAATGAACCCCCAATTCTTGCATTGGAGGACGACTGCGCTAACCACTCATCCACAGCCACCCCCACAAATAAATCACCCTCAGGTATCAGCAGTGGTGTCTACAGGTTGCCTACGACTGAAGATAGATCTTGTTATGCAGAGAGGAGTTATGAAGGTTAAAGGGGAAGTGTTTATCCAGGAACCTGACTAGTTGTTTTATTCTTTGCAAAGAGAAGATATCGGAACAGCCCAAATCACGTGACATAAAGTCAATACTGGCTGCAGTAAAATTCAAAGACCCATGAATGATATTAAAAGTTTACCTCTATCATAGGACTGCCTGTACAGAGATTAGCTTACCTACTGTTGACCCTTTCTTGACCCTTTATAAGTCTTTCTTAACCTCCCCCGCTCACCTGAGCGGTGGAACCAGACTTCTTTTAGCACCATGCATGACGTACCGCTGCAGACCCTCACCTTAAACCCCGATCTGTCTTATTGTCGAGAAGGATTGGGTTCAGAAGGCTGATTCCTGTTACTCGCTCACCTCTCAGAATAGATCTGTAAGCCTATTTACGAGCAGCAGCCTGGTCAATGAATGGAGACATGATGGAGTAACAGCAGGACAACTATCAGGGTTAGTGAGATCACAGCTTACAGGTGGGCTACACTAACAGGTTAGCTTTGACTTTGCAGTACTTCCAGTCCTCGTGACCAACAGAGATCTGCTACTACAACCACTCTTCTTTAATTACAGTAGGCGTTTAATTTTAAAATAATTCCCAAATCTACATTTCTAAATTACTTTTAGCATTTAAGCATCAGTTTCTTGTTAGTAAACCTGAAGGTAGCAGGAAATACAGAAGAAGTTGAATACTGGTAATACATATTTTACGTATAGTCCCTTGATTATCGCAGGGGTTTACGTTCCAGACACCACCACAATATGTGAAAAACCTCAAAGTAGGAACGCTATATTCATTTTAGTATTTATATATATTTTAAGGTTTTATAAACCCTTTCCACCTCTTGCAATGTTCTTAACAATGTTCTAAACTCTTAAACCTACGTAATGTTAACATACTGTATGTATATGTACTGTACAGTACTGCAACATTTTATATGGGTACTCACCAGACACTACTTGAAGATGAGTTCAGCTTCAAGATTATTTGCCACTTTCCTGCCAGTTCTGTGAGCTTCATAGATAGATCGTTACTTCTGACTTTGCGTTGCAAAACTATTTTTACCACATCGGTTTATCCGCTTGTGTTTGCGCCCTCCATTGCTGTTCTTTGAATTTCGGCAGAAAGCAGCGGCCGGAAGCCCCGTTGACTTCTGGGCCGTGTCGTTCTTTTGACTAGCATTACAGTATAGGCTTATTAAAAGAAAACTACAAAATGACGGCGCCTGTCCGAAGTATTTATTTGTTTTTGTCATGTCGGTTGGTTCCCGCTCCCGCCCGCTCCCATTAACTTTTTCTCCCATACCGTCCCAATCACGTAATATTAAAGTTGACAGTTGTGTGTCGTGTACAATCGTAAGTTGAAAACCAACAAAAGAGTGAGTCCGTGAAGTATCGAGGAACTACTGCACATACATTTACATTATATATATTTTATTTTCCTGGAAATCAGACGCTGGTTCAAACCCCCTGCTGACTCTAACATCAAAATGTGGGTGGAAAAGCTGAGGCACCTACGTCTGCCTCCACCCTCATTTGCCCCAATTTGGGCCCTTAAGCAAGGCCCTTTATCCCCCCATTGGTTCCCCAGTTGCCCCAAATGGCAGCTCTCTGCTCCAAACAGAGGTACTGTGGTAGCTCAGTGGTCTGTGGTTGCATCTGGAAGGACATCCGGCATAAACCAAATGCCAAATGCTCGTGCAGGTTCGCTTGCTGTGGCGACCCCTGAAGAAAGGAGCATCCTTTAATAAAACCGCTAACAAAAATATTGAAAACTACACAGATGACATGCATTTTCTTATTCTGGTAGGTACAAATCTTTATAAGGCAAGTTAAGATTTTAAGACCATTTTAGATTGTGTTTTGTACATTTCTTTAACTTTCAGCTTTTATCAGACTGTTATTGATTTACAAAAAGACGGGAGAGCAGCACTTTAAAGGGTTTTTATGATAATTTAATTGTTGATTCAGGTTGCTTTGTTGTTTTACTTCTTTTACATTTAACTGGTTACTTAGATTTGGTCAGTGACATTTTGTAGTCAAGACTTGAACACGTTGGCCTAACAGGTTCAGTTCTGTTGTGGTTTAAATAGCATTTGCCAAAGAGGTATTTTTCTGTATCCATGGGAGAACAGTCCTCTTTATTTTGACATTCCTCAAAGACACATTTTGGGTCTTTTTCTGTTTTCCATATATACACTGCCTTTGGGATCGATATTCATTGTTATGCTGATGAAATCCAAATGTTTCCATTCGTCCATCATTTATCGCATGTTCCCAGGCCAGAGAGGATATATAATCCAGATTGATTTACCTTTGAAATTGAACATTTCTGCTTCACTGCAGCCTCTGTTTAACGGTCTACATGATGTAAAAGAGTGGTTAACACAGAATTGGAAAGAATTGTTAGAATGAAAAAAAAAGACTGAATTTGTTGTCTTTGGAAATCATACTGGTGTCCCTGGCTCTCTCTTAATCCTAGTTCAGTCTGAGTCCCAACAGGTCTTTCTGTTATTTCCTTGTTTTTTGTAACTTGTTTCATTGCATTTATTGGTTATTTATGTGTGATTTTAACCTTTATTTAATTGATTGTTTTTCCAGTTTTGTAATGATTGCAGCAATAAGGATAGGAGAACAGATACCAAGACTCGCAATGTATTTACAGTGTTTATTTGCAAGGTGATAATATTTAGTTCTAGAATTGTGCCGCTCAAGGTGGCTGCATGTTGGAGTAGCTGTTACTTTCATTCTGGGATATTGCTTTTGAAAACTATATTTCCTCTTTTTTCTGGATGTAAATGGCTTTTGTTCGAATAGTTACTTCCTCTGGTATTGGACGCTGTGCAGCTGGAAGGATTTTTACTGAAACCTTTTTACTTTTGGACATTTGTTATAGAGCGTAACCATGACAACAAGGTTTTTTTTTTTACAACTGGGAGCAGCTGATTAACATCTCAAAGCTCAAATATTACCTCAAATACAGCCCCAAATCCCAAATGAGTTGTAAAGGAGGCACCGTGGATGCATCTCCGTCTACCTGGCAGAGGTGCTCGAGTGACTGACTGCTGAGATCTGGGAGCTGACAGGAAACGTGGCTCATGACAACAAGAAGACCAGGATCATCCCCTGACACCTGCAGCTGGCGCCTGCGATGATGAGGCTCTCGACAAGCTGCTGAGAGGAGTGACCATCACTCAGGGAGGAGTTCTGCCCAACATTCCAGTGGTCCTGCTGTCAAGGAGGACCGAGAAGCCCGCTGGGTCTGGGTGGATGGATCTGCAGCCAATTTCTTCAGATCCACTGTGGTACGGACTGCTGCAGATCCTTCCTGCCCACAGCCATCAGCATCTATAACAACTCTTAATGAAACCAGGATGATGAGCTACAACATTTAATTTCCCTTTGGAATTAAAAAAGTATTTTGAATTGAATTAATACATTCAATGAGCCGGGGGGGAGGTGGAACCCTGAAGAGCAAGGAGATACTTGTAATCAATGGTCTGTCAGCTGGGGGTGATAATGTTGTTGCTGATCTTTCTTACAGTAGCGGTAGGAGTCAGTAGTGGGGAGAGAACTGACCCATATGGTTCCAGGCAAAAAAGGTGTACGTCTGAACAATGGCAGGAGACAGGCAAGTGGTAGGAAGGTGTGGAGGCAGCTGAGGAGACACAGGAGAGCTCGAGACCCACAGAGGGGAATCCTGGGGACAGGAGGACATCAGGGATTATTTACTGGAAGCACGGAGAAAATACAACATTGTTAATATTCTGTTTTACTCACAAGTAAAAGGCTTAAACAGAACTGCCGTTGGCAGGTAATGCTTCAGTGCTGACTAGATGTCTTCTGCAGCCTTTTATACTCCTCTTGCCCATCAAGCCGATGATCCTCAGGTGCTGCTGATTAGAATAGCTGTGGCTGCTGGGAGCTGACAGAGCAGAACTTCCACGTTTGTTCTAAACAAATTAATGAGGCACTTTAGTTAACTTTGTTTTAAAACATGATTCATGAATAAAACTGATATCAACATTACTAACAGATGACGCATATTAAACAAAGGTGGTTTATATATTGATAAATAGAGAATATACGCAACAGCTTTGACAGAGTTATTTATTTTTTCTTAATATTTAAAAAGTATTTTTTGTGAACAAAACGGTTGAAATGATTATGTTGATCTTGTGCGAAAATGATTTATCTTTTCTTCTGATGCCGTTTTGCAGAAGACCTCACTGGAACAAAAACCATCAACATTATTAACGAGATGCTTCCTCCTGGTTTTGGATTGATGCCTGAAGATTCACTTCAGGAGACAGCTACAACATCTTCAATTAAGATTCCTGTGGATTTAACCTCTGACCTCTCTGCTGACGCCATGCCAGAAGACTCTAATGATATCCAGGAAAATCGAGGCAAAGTTACTTCACAAGATCTAGCTGAGGTCACCAGTAAAACTGAGGTTTTAAATGTTAGAGTCATTGCTGAGGAGACTATAGAGACAACCTCGACGGTTGTTCTTGTTGATGGAATGAATCAGGAGACCAGTAGAGACAAAATGGTTCCAGACAAAACAAAGGAAAAAGTTGTTGTGGAAATTATTCCCAAAGATTTAAAAGACATTGGAGTGGTTAGCCCAGAAGATGAGGAGCCATCATCAGAGGTTGTAGCTCCAGAAGGCCCCATAGAAGCTACTGTTGTGATTCATCAAGAACCCACCTTAATACCTTATATTGAAACATTAACTTTGCTGGAATCAAAATATGAGGAACCTCTAGAGGTAACCTCATACATTCCTGCAGAAGTTGTGTTAGAACATTCTCCTGACACAACTACCAAGGGTCTTTTGATGTCAGAAGGTGAAGAAGACCTTGACAATTCTTTAGAAACCATCCTTGTTACTTCAACTGTGAGGGATTTAGAGGCCACCACTGATATACAAGAATCCACTGGTGTAACGTTCCCTCACACACTTGAAACACCATTTATCCCAGAATCTGAAGGTGTCAATGTAACATTACAGATCAAAGCACCTTCGGAGGCAGCAGTAGAGGGTAACCAAGGTGGCACCAAGGTTGACACAGCTACAGTATCGACTGTGTCCCTGATAACACATTCAGAACAAGAGGCTAAAATTACTTTCAATGAAATTTCAAAACAAGAACTGGAAATAGACGTTCCTTCTAATGCCTCTATTCTGACAGCTATGGAAAGTCCATCACTAATGACTGATGTTACTTCCAAACCTTTTTTGGTTTTGCAAGATGACAAAGATGATGTAACTGAAGATAAGCCAACAACAGCAACAATTCAGATTAAAGAAATGGGAAAGCCGGGAGAGGAGGGAACAGTTCAGGTTGAACAGGATGAAGTTTTTCTAATTATTAAAGATAAAACAACTGAGGTGCAACCAGAAGAAAAAAATCATACACAAGATAAAACTGTTGAAGCTACAGAAACTACAGACAAGCCAGTTAAAGAAGTAGATACACATGAAACACCAACAGACCCCAATGAGCAAGAAGAAAACATAATTAAGGAATCAGAACTCGAGGAACAGGCAGCAAAACTTACTGCAGCTGATACAAAAGAACTAGAACCTGTAGAAATGGCAACAAAAGTGACAGAACTTCCAGTAAAACTACCACCAGAAGCAGAACCTGTTGAAGGTATGATAGAAGAGCCCAAACACATTGAGGAACCAGCGCAGGAAATGGAACCTGATGAACAATCTATTGAAATAACAAAGCCCTCAAGAGAATCCACAGCAGATAGGGCTCTCAAAGAAGAAATTAAAGAAAAGTTATCAGAACCAACAAAAGAAGCAGAAATTACAGAAGAAGAACCAATATCCCCTGTAGAATCATCACAAAAACCCATAGGGAAACCAGCCCAAGAAACAGAACCTATTAAAGAATCAAAACAAGAAACAGAACCAACTATAAGATCTACTCAAGAAGTAGAAGCCGCAAAAGAATCAACACAAGAAAAACAACCAATTATTAAACCAACACAAGAAGCAGAAAGTACTAAAGAATCAACGCAAGAAAAAGAACCAACCATTAAACCAGCTCAAGAGCTAGAACCCACTAAAATATTGACACAAGAAACAGAACTAACAATTAAACCTGCTCATGAAGTAAAATCCACTGAAGATTTTATGCAAGGAAAAGAACCAACCATTAAACCAGTACAAGCATTAGAACCCACTAAAGAACTGACAAAAGAAACAGGACCACCCATTAAATCAACTCAAGAACTAGAACATACTGAAGAAACAACACAAGAGACAGAACCAACTGTGCAACCAGCCCAAGTAGAACTTTCTAAAGAAGTAACACAAGAAAGGGAAACAACTATTAAACCAACTAAGGAAGTAAAACCCACTGAAGAATCAGCACAAGAAACAGAACCAACAGCTAAACCCATTCAAGAACAAGAACCTACCAAAAAATCAATACAAGTAAGGGAACCAACCATTGAACCAGCTCAGGAACTAGAAACAGCTAAAGAATCAATGCAAGAAAAAGAGCCAACCATTAAACCAGCTCAAGAGTTAGAACCCACTAAAGAATCGATACAAGAAAAAGAGCCCACCATTAAACCAGCTCAAGAACTAGAAACCACTAAAGAATCAATACATGAAAAAGAACCAACCATTAAACCAG